TGCCTCCAAAATGTTTGTATTTAGCGGCAAGAAACCTGATTCGCTCTCAAGGCAACTAGTAGTGAGAACGCCCACTAGCAATCTCATCGCCAGCCCCTGGCGATATGAAGCGACAAGTGAACGAAGCTTTAGGTTTATTTAACTAACGACATAAAAAAAAAAAAAAACTGTGCGTGTCTGAGCCAATATAGCTCAAACTTACCTAGGTAGAAATGTGCACTGTGTGTGTCATTACAAACAGGAATCACATTGTACCTTGGGCACATAGCCGGGCAGGGGCCTCAGGGTTACCTGAGTTAGTCAGGTTAGTCGGTTAGTCAGCCGGCCCGAACTCTAGGCATGAATCGTTGACCGAAAATGCGTGCAGGTCCCCTACCCTCTTGATGGAGGCCAGTGCAAGCAGGAGTAGAGTTTTCATGGACAGAAACTTCAGCTCGACTGTCTGCAAAGGCTCAAATGGGCCCTGCTGTAGTGCTGTGAGCACTAGAGTCAGGTCCCAAGAGGGTATAGAGGGGGGCCGTGGAGGATTTAGCCTTCTCGCCCCGCTAAGGAAGCTGATGATCAGGTCATGCTTCCCCAGCGACTTCCCTTCTACTGGGTAGCGATTGCAGCGACATAGACTTTGAGGGTGGAGGGAGACAGCCTTCACTCCAACCCTTGCTGCAAAAAGGACAGCACGACGAGGGGCTGTCACGAGGTGCATTTTTTCCTGGAACCAGGTCCGGGTGTATTTTTATTTTTTTTTGTAACGAAAAAAATGCATAAAAATAAGGCTTTTATGAAAACACACAAAAAATTAAAGATTAAAATCTGCTGAATTATGTTTTTTATCCCCGGTGGGGATAAAAAAAATATATATATCTCCCCGGATTATGCTACCCCACCAACCACCAACAGAGCATATAAAATACCAAAAATATAAATATTTTTTATTAAGTAAAATACTGCAACATGACAATACAAACAACAATAAAATCAGAAAATTAGGAGAAAATATTATATGAATTATTGGTCACACTTTAGTTTGGGGACCAATTCTCACTTAACTACGTCGTTTGCCTCAATAAATTCCTAATTGTATGCTTATTAACAGTTAGTAAGGTAGTTATTAAGTATAGGTATGGTGTAGGATTAATGGATCTAAAATACGGTCATGCAGAATAATGCATTAATATGGGCTTTATAAGTACTAATAAACAGCTAATATGCTAGTAAAATGCATGCTAATAAGCAACTAGTTAATAGTGAACAGTGCTCCCTAATCTAAAGTGTCATCGATTTATTAAATGGAAAAGTTATTAAATGTTATTAAGGTCATTAAGGTTGTCAAAAATTAATTAATTAAGTAGATGTGTGGAATAAGATTTTCCAATCAAGCTGGAATTTTGTCAAATTATCAAATTGCAATTTAGTTGTGATAATTTAGGAATGTTAGCGATGATATTAGTTTTAACAGCACAAATACATTTTTATTTAAAATAATATTAATAATAATAATAATAATAATAATAATAATAGGAAACCTTGCCTGTTTTAGATAAACATGTTTTATTTTCTCTGAAACAGGTAAACATGAATCTTGCAATGTTTTATTACATTGGCTGTTGTATGTATCGTGGCAGTTTGGGAATAAAATGTCTGGTGAGTGGTGCTAAAAGGTTGCTGTATCACGTCTGAAAATAACATACCACTTCACTAAACCTAACCGATAGTGTTAACAAAAGCAAATGTGAGATAAAACACATTTGCTGAAGCAACCATGCTATTCCTTTCTTGCTTCTACAAGCCTTTGAGCTCTTTTATTGTAACTCATGTTTCATGTGACACGTACCTGTGCGCTTCAAATCACAAGTGCAATGCTGTACCAGGTGCACTATCGAGCACGTTTACTACATCAGAAAAGCCAAACATATGTAATGCAAACATCAAAATGTAGAGTATGAGTTTACAAATCACGCAGTATGGGAAAACGTGTTTTGACAGGTACGCAGCTCACTGGGATTTATAACACAGTTACAGTTTATAGTTCATATTTTGGTATTAAATTCATCATTGTGCGATTAAACAGACTGAGAGTGATGCCCCGCTTTGTGCATCATCATGAATTCTCAGCGGGCCATTTTGAAAGCTGGTGATAGATGAGTGTGACTGCAGGACTCTGATGCTACACGCTGGGCTAATCATCTCTATCAGGAGTTGTTTGTCTCTCATCCCTGGTAAAATAACAACAGGAAAGTGACTGATTTTTCCTCCTCCTCCACTTTTGCAGACACGGTGAGCTGCTTTGAATTGAGAGATCTTTGTTCCCCAAAAAATCAATTTCCAGTTTGGCTTTGTTTGATGTGTTCCTTTAGGTTTGTGATGTGATCTGCTGCATTGATTCATGAACCACCACTTTAACATTAGTGGACGTTTAAACTGGTGTTATTTTAATATCATTAAATACACTTTGTTCATATTTTGAATTAGATTTTATTTTTTATATTTTATATAATTTTAATAGTTTTGTTGTCAGTTTTTGACACTTTAAAAAAAAAAATTGTATGTCTATATAGATTCTATTCATTTGTATTTATTAGTTTTAGTATTTTAAATGGAAATTAGAAATGTTGCCTTGTAAAAATATTTTTATTTTATTTTATTTAAATTAAATTAAAAAAAATTTAAAGTAACATTAACATTAAGTAACTTTGATTAATTGATTGATTGATTTAATTTTAGTTTTAGTTAACAGTAATAA